AATCTCAACTTATATTTAAAAATTAAAATTTTAATGCAAAATTTAAAAATTTACCCTATTAAATGTTGGTATTTAGATTTTAAAAGTAATTGTATATTAGAATAGAATCACTTTTTAAATCTAAATATTAATATTTAATAAGATAAAATTTTAAATTTGAAATTAAATTTTAATTATAATTAGATAAAATGAGATATTTACTTTAAATTTGAAACTTTAATTTATTTTAAAAATTAAAATTGATATACACCTTTTTTTATTATATTTATTTAATATCATATATCATATAATTATAAATTTATCATTTTAAGTGATAGTATTTTTTTATTAAACTTTCAAAATTTAAAAATTATATTAGTTTTAACTAATTTAAAATCAGATCACAATAAATTACATAAAATTTTTTTAATACCTATTACTTAATTTATTAAATTTAAATTTAAGATTTTATATAAATAGTATTTTCACCCAAATTTATGATTTTATTTTAATAAAAAAATTAAATTATCAAATAAATAAAAAAAATCCAAGTCAAATGTTAAATCCCTTGCCATGTAAGCATGACAGGGCAATATTTTGCCATCCAAGCAGCCAAGCGGGGTGTGTCCTCAACGGCAGTTAAAGTCAGGCGAGCAATCCCAAACGGCAGTTGAGTTGGGGTAAGAAGAAGGGCTTAATTGCTTTGATCCCAGAGTTCTAGGGCTCAACTGCATCAATTAAAGTCTAGGGGCTTAATAGCAATCCTGGGGTTAGTTCAGGGGCTTAACTTATGGTTTTGCCTAGTTGTAATGGGTAATTGTCCTAGTTAAAAAAAAAAAAAAAGAAAGAAAAATAGAGGGCATGCATGCTGGTGTGAGATCCGACGTGGATAGCGTCATGGTTGGAGAGGGTGACGGTGGGCCGGTGGACGAATATTTGTGGACGATGTATACCATGTTTGGTGGTAATGAGTTTTCAGTGGATATAAAATTAGAAGAAATTAAGAAGGCTTGAACATATGATTGCACTCAATAGAATGGTTATTAGAGAAGGATGAGTCACAAGAAAGCAAGATAAGTTGAAAATTAAAACTAAAGGAGAGGGTGTTATGCAATTTTCTTTTCCTTTTTCTTTTTCCTAGGAAACCAACTTCCTACGACTCAAACACTACGGGTGTGTTTGGTTGGTAGTTTCTGTACAAAACTCCAAACAGCAGTTTCCTTCAGATATTGCCAACCAACATGTCTTAATGGGGTGAAGCAACAACAGTCAGCCTAGAACCCAGGGTCAGATGACCATGCTTGTCTGGTTCGCACGGCGAAGCATAAACCATAAAGCATCCGAGTAGGAATCTGGAAGGCACGGAAGGAATCGGAGAACTAATAGCTGAATGAAAGAAACATAAAAGATCCTGGTTACAGCTCGATAGGTTCATGGATTTCTTTAAGGGCAACTCCGACGGTCATCACATAAATTCATCCAAATTCTGGATAAACATGATAAGCAACAAAGCTGGTTATGTTCTAAGCTGGAAAAAGCATATTTAATTAAGATTCAAACAAACAAATATAACTTGGGAAAAGGAATTAATTAAAACAGGAAACATTATAAGATTGTAAACAATTCTGCCATGCAGATGTTTACCTCTCAAAATAATTTGGGAACCTGTGAATTTTATTTTACAGTTTGAACTGCATTAAACTGTAAAATATAAATTATTGGATAAAAGAAAAGCCTCCAATATCCAGGGATCCAACCTTCATCCAATAGTTAGTGTTGTGCAGTCCGGTATTTTTCCAAATGTCTTACACTTTCTGATTCTGTACTAGTTTACGTCACAGTTATTAGTAAACAGACTGGGGAAAAGTCTAATTGCAGCCAGCAAGGCAGGCAATGGAGTCACTTGATAACTCTAAGAGAGTGCGGGTATGGAGTCTGGGAGTCTGGGGATAGGTCAGACTGTCAGAGAGGGAGAGAGGGCTTAATTAACAAAGTCACCTGAACTTGAACTACATACACAAGTCACACAGTCAACTCAGTCATCACTAGTATTAATCAGGGTGCCTAGCACAACACACTTAATGACAAGAAGAAAATGACATCGTTGATGCCATCTCCAAATATTAAAGGGTACTTAATCTATCAGACTGCATATGCCTATTTGTGGGATTATACTTATCTAACAACAGAAAACATGTAAGTTTCTTTGACTATTGAATGCCATTCATACAACATATATAGCAGGCAAGATTCTCATGTACACTTGTAGAGTTGTAGGTCAACTAAGCAAAACATAAGAAACGCAGCAATTAAGACTATTCTCAGTTTGTTTAAAAAATAATAATAAAGAACAAATGGCTACTGATGTCGGGTCTCATTTACATTTGATTAACTAAGCTGGCATATCCTGGGTTTCCTGGTCACATACTAAAATTATAATCCATATCGAGGTTAAAAATATACACAGCTAGTTGAATGGGGTCACTCTTAGAACTTAATAAAGGGCATTCTTAGAGAAAGATATTTTTCAGTATGGACTGCACTTTTTTGTGCAGTCCAGTTGCTGAAATTACCGAAACACCATCAATGAACAACATGGAGAGCACTTTCATTAATAGTATTTTGGTAATTTCAGTACCTGGACTGCACAAAGAAAGTGCAAACCATACTGCAACACTTTTCTGTTAACAGTATTTTGGTAATTTCAGTACCTGAAATGCATAAAGAAAGTGCAGTTTGTACTGAAAAACACTTTTCTGTTCTTTATAATTTATATAAGCTAACATAAACTGGGTTGATTCAGGAGAGATAAAGTGGTGTCTTTACTACAGCAACACCAATAATAAATAAAATCTAAACTGACAACCAAGCTAATTTAAGGTCTGTTTAGTAGGATGTAGTTTCCAGTTTTTGGTTGCTGTTAAGCATTAATGAAATCTGTTCAGTTGGTCATCATTTCCAAAATTTTAAAAGCCTATGACTGGTTTTGGCAATTTATGAAAACCATTTTTGGTTTTCAATTTAGGTTTTAAAAAATTTTAAAATGATACCCAACAAATCCTTAAGTTGTAGCACACATGAGTAGTCCATGGTTCAAGCTACTAAACAAGGTTCTCTTGTCTACTTGCTTTTTCTACTCTTTTTTCTTCCATGAGATGACATTCAACATTGAAAAAAACTGCTTTTGGGTTATTGTATGACATAAAGGCCTCATAATGAATCTTGGATCCTTAATTGGCATATTATCAACTTCTAAATCAAATTCACTAGAATCTCAAAATCAACTTCAAATTCTAATTCAATTGCTAAATCAAAAGGAGCTACCAACAAACAAATTGCCAGTTTGCCACCTTTGATGAAGAAAAGGCAAGCAATGCAAAATAGAATTGCAACCAAAATTAAAAAAAGCAATGAGGACAAACCAAATTCCTGTCAATAAAGGCAAAATACAGCTAATATATAAATTTTGAAACATACAAAAATATGTATTAGATCTTAAACGAAAATAGATAGTTCTTAATTTCAAAATACTAGAGAATCCTACATCTTAACTCAAGAGTCTCAAGTTTCTTCAATGGCTAAGGAAAATATTAAATATGAAATAATAGTTTTCATACGGAAGCAAGTTTACCAGAAATGTTCTTCCCCTGACTCTCTTCTTCATTGTCAACATTTTCACTATCCATTTGCTTGGATGCTGTTGACTCTCGTTGCAAAGGAGCACTAACAGCTCCAGTGACTGACTGCTGATAAAGAACCCCGCCAGCCAATGTGCAAAGAAGGCAAACCAAACCAAAAGGACTGGCATGTTTATCCCAAATCACCACATTGATTACAACTGTAAGAAACTTATTAACTACACCAGTCACGGTAAATGCTGTGGCAGATATGGCCTTCCTAGCAGCAAACCCAAAGAAACTGATGGCCAACCCAAACACGCATGACAGAGCCACTGCAGTAAACGCCACAGGTTCAAACCAATTACCAGCATTTGCTCCCAAAGCAGCAAACACATCAGCATACTCTCCCGTCAAAACCCAAAAAATAGGAGCCATCATCAAAGACAACAAATTGTTGTACAACACAAAACCCCAAGTGTTCAACCCAAGATTCATTACCATATGCTTAATATAAACCATCTCTGTGGTAATTGTCACCAGATACGCAAATGCCCACAAATATGCAGTCAAAGTAAAGGCAGAATCAGTGGCAACATAACCAACAGCACCACCCAAAATGATAACCAGAGACACAAATGTGAGTTTGGAGGGGCAAGGCTGCCTCCTAAATGTAGTGTCAGCAATGGCAACCAAAAGGGGTGTCAAGGATCTGAACACTATAAAAGTATCCACATTTGCGTGACGCAGAAGATTGGTATTGGTGAAGATTGCAAGATAAAACACAATAGCAGCAGGCAAAAACTTCTTGGCAATATCAAGAGTGAAGGGATCATGATGCAAAAACCCTAATCTACCCAAAACCCACACACCTAAAGCAGAGGTTAGGTACTGTAGCGCAGTCAAGAGACCTGGATAATTGAATTTAGTGATGGCAAATTTGTTGATAACGGCAAGCAAACTTGAACAAAGAGCATATCCAACCACCAAACTACTAGTAGCATAGTGCTGTTTGTTGGAATCAAAACGAATCAATGGCATTTTGGGTTCTAATCAAAGTTAAAAAAAACCCAGAAATCAAAATCAGATCTTGAGTCAATTTATGAAGCTAATCAGAAGAGATTTAACAGAAAGAGATGCATTTGCAGACCTGTTTGAACAAGAAAATGACTTCGCAGAGCAAAATGGGATGTGCGTAACTCAGAGCAACAACGATCTAACAAGTTAATGAAGAAAAGCAGCTGCAATTTACTCTATTAAATGAAAAATGACCCAGAAAGTACCAATTTAGAACAGCTAATGGGAGGAGAAATTGGTAAGGGAAATTAGAGATCACCGACACACAGAAGGAGAGATCGTGAAATGTACGAAAGACTGTTGACGGGATCAGAGATCGAACGGTGAAAAATGAATGAATCAGTGCCCGGTGGGGAAGGAAGACAGAAAAATCTGTGGAATAAGGGGATACAAAATGTGAAAAGTGCTTGGATCCCAACGGACTGGTAACTACCAAAAAAGAAAAACGGACTGGTAAAAAAAAATTGAAAAAACCTTAAAATTAAAATTACTTGTTTTAACAAAAAATCATGAATGAGAAAAATTAAAGTAACTCCATTTTTGTTTTGAAGATTATGATATTTTAATAATTTTAATAAAAGTTTATTAAAATTTAGTTGATAAATTTTTTTAATATTTTA